CAAACAAAACAAACAAGCAACAAAACAACAAAATCCCACAAAAAACTTGTGCAGATGTAAATGTATTTGATCTGTGTTTTGCTGCTTCAGGTCACCATGAGCTCCCCCCAGTAGCCCACACAACCATGTTGAGAGATTTTCCCACCACCCTGCAGCATTCTGGTGAGGCGGTCATCCCCCCTCGATCTTCTGCCTCCACTGCCTCCCCGTTGTCCCCTGCCTCCCACTACCATCAGCGCTATGTGAGTCACAACATAAAATAAATAAAAAATTTTTAAAAAGTATCCTCATCATCTAATTTTTTTTTTTCCTCTTTCTTGTGTATCTCAGTTTCAAACATTAGCTGGCAGACATAGTGACGCTAAGGCTAACCAAGGAGGGGCTGATGGGAAGACATCAGGACAGGATCAGAGGTCAGCCACCGTGCTGCCTCTCTATGTGACTCAGGACCGTCTGACTCTGGCTGTTGTGACTCTGCTGCTGGGAGGATGGCTCGCCTTCATGTTAACATATCCCATCGTGAGTTTTTGCTTGTTTTTTTTCTTTTTTTCTTTTTTTTAAAAGAATTAAATGAGGTGATGACTAACCCTCCTTTCTAATCAAGAATATGCAGTATCACCCATATAAGCTTATGAGCATGCCTTAGTATGAACATGAGAAATGGGAGTAAACCGCTGCTCATTAATAAAGTCATTACATGTTTTAGAAAGAAAAGCAAACTACAAAGGTGAGAATTTATGGTTTTGTCTGGGTTTCTGACAAAGGTGCTCTGATTTAATGGTGGCAGGTGGGATGCCCCTGTAAGTGACCTGTGATTGTCATTAAATCCAAAACAGTGTGATGGAAAAATTCCTGCTGCTCCCAGTTTTCCTCCACCCACCTTGTTCCTCTACTTAAGTTAGAAAGCTGTGTTCCTATTCCAGCATGTTCATTGACCCTTAGAGAACAGAGATCATTGTTTCATCTTCAGCTGTTGTTTACTCATGTGGGCTTGGTAATAAATGGTGACAGTACAAGCGAGAGATGAAGAGCGTTTCCATTCTGTTTGAAAAACCGAGGGCTGTAATGCTTTTTAAAATGCAGCCTCTTTTGTGTCTGAGTCTCATTTTTTGGGCTGTTGAAGCTCCCCTCAGCAGCACTTGGAATAGAAACAAATATGCTTTCTGGACGGGTTTCAGCCAGATACAGTAACTAAGCCTCAGGCTGTTATCGTGTCACGCCACATATCATGAACAGGACATTCAGTTATTGCAGCAGGTTATTTGCTCAGTGCCACTGCGTGATAGACACATCATATTTACAGCAAAGCTTATCCTCACAGCTTCAGTAGCACCTTCCTGCATATATATGCATTTCCTAAGTATTGTTTTTGCAGAGTTTAATAGGCTACAGAGTGTATGTGATTAGCAAAGAAAAAAGTAAAGTGGGGCAAAAAAGTATTTAGTCAGCCACCGATTGTGCAAGTTCCCCCACCTAAAATGATGACAGAGGTCAGTAATTTGCACCAGAGGTACACTTCAACTGTGAGAGACAGAATGTGAAAAAAAAAAATCCATGAATCCACATGGTAGGATTTGTAAAGAATTTATTCGTAAATCAGGGTGGAAAATAAGTATTTGGTCAATAACAAAAATACAACTCAATACTTTGTTAACATAACCTTTGTTGGCAATAACAGAGGTCAAACATTTACTATAGGTCTTTACCAGGTTTGCACACACAGTAGCTGGTATTTTGGCCCATTCCTCCATGCAGATCTTCTCGAGAGCAGTGATGTTTTGGGGCTGTCGCCGAGCAACACGGACTTTCAACTCCCGCCACAGATTTTCTATGGGGTTGAGGTCTGGAGACTGGCTAGGCCACTCCAGGACTTTCAAATGCTTCTTACGGAGCCACTCCTTTGTTGCCCGGGCGGTGTGTTTTGGATCATTGTCATGTTGGAAGACCCAGCCTCGTTTCATCTTCAAAGTTCTCACTGATGGAAGGAGGTTTTGGCTCAAAATCTCACGATACATGGCCCCATTCATTCTGTCCTTAACACGGATCAGTCGTCCTGTCCCCTTGGCAGAAAAACAGCCCCATAGCATGATGTTTCCACCCCCATGCTTCACAGTAGGTATGGTGTTCTTGGGATGCAACTCAGTATTCTTCTTCCTCCAAACACGACGAGTTGAGTTTATACCAAAAAGTTCTACTTTGGTTTCATCTGACCACATGACATTCTCCCAATCCTCTGCTGTATCATCCATGTGCTCTCTGGCAAACTTCAGACAGGCCTGGACATGCACTGGCTTCAGCAGCGGAACACGTCTGGCACTGCGGGATTTGATTCCCTGCCGTTGTAGTGTGTTACTGATGGTGACCTTTGTTACTTTGGTCCCAGCTCTCTGCAGGTCATTCACCAGGTCCCCCCGTGTGGTTCTGGGATCTTTGCTCACCGTTCTCATGATCATTTTGACCCCACGGGATGAGATCTTGCGTGGAGCCCCAGATCGAGGGAGATTATCAGTGGTCTTGTATGTCTTCCATTTTCTGATGATTGCTCCCACAGTTGATTTTTTCACACCAAGCTGCTTGCCTATTGTAGATTCACTCTTCCCAGTCTGGTGCAGGTCTACAATACTTTTCCTGGTGTCCTTCGAAAGCTCTTTGGTCTTGGCCATGGCGGAGTTTGGAGTCTGACTGTTTGAGGCTGTGGACAGGTGTCTTTTATACAGATGATGAGTTCAAACAGGTGCCATTCATACAGGTAACGAGTGGGGGACAGAAAAGTGTCTTACAGAAGACGTTACAGGTCTGTGAGAGCCAGAGATTTTCCTTGTTTGAGGTGACCAAATACTTATTTTCCACCCTAATTTACGAATTGTTGAAGTGTACCTCTGGTGCAAATTACTGACCTCTGTCATCATTTTAAGTGGCGGAACTTGCACAATCGGTGGCTGACTAAATACTTTTTTTGCCCCACTGTATATTCCCCACTTAATCTAATAAATCATAGTTTGAAACAGCGATTATGGAACAAACTGCAGATAAAGTGCACATTTATTTGTCTTGTTTTTGTTTTTAAGCTTCTTTTAATTGGCTTATGTGGAGTTTCCACACTACTGAGACTGAATCGCAGTTGCCATGTTTTTGAGTGTGTGGACAGTTTACTAATCTTATATTTTCAGTACTGACCTTTTGAACTCAACCTTCTTGTTTGATGTGTTGTATATCGATATGTGTCTCTCCAGCGTGCAGCTCAGCAGTTGAAAGCTCAAAGACAGCTGGAGGAAGCCTTTGAGTCTCGTCTCCAGCGCATGCAGACAAATACGCAGGCACAAACCTTGGTTTCTTCAGACCCACCTCCTTCTACTGATGCAAACATCTCAAGCGGTGTGTAACTTAAAAAACCAAGTTCTCTATCGCTCTGTGCTTGTGAGTGCAGTGATGGTGATGAGAAATGAAGAATTAATAAAACCTGTCATTATTGAGGCCCAGATTAACCTGGGCTCAGTATAAGTTTTAATACCTGCAAGAGTCTTATTCAGACTGCATATCTACACCTAGACCCGTTGCCTGCATCTACAGAAGCTCCACCTAGTCCTCACAGTCGCAGCAGCAGCAACACATCGCATGGAGATAAAAATGGCAAGAATGGACACAAACCCACAGCAGGTGAAACGCAGCATACTTGGCAAATTTGCCTCAAGATGCTTTTGGGTATAAAAACTCAACAGAAAGCATTACTGGGGGGGAATCACTGTTGCTCCTTCACCTTAAAGATGAGCTACATTTAGTTTTCCTTTCTTTCTTTTTTTCTATTTCTCAGAAGAAAACAGTGAGGAGGTGCACGTGGGTAAAATCTGCTTCAGTCCCTCTGAGGTGCTCGGACACGGCTCTGCAGGAACATTTGTCTTCAGGTACGATATGTTTGTAAGCAGAAAACTGTATCAGTGGATTTTCATGATTTTAAGCAAAAGAGAAAACTTGTATCATATTTTTGTCAAGAATTCTTCTTAAGCATATAAAACGTAGCACGCTGTTTTCAGTGCCCATCACAAACAGCACTAATTCTCTGTATGTTTTCCTCATGATTACGATATTAATCATTATCCTTAATAAGGATGAGGATGACACCTCCTCTGCACCCAAAATGATGAGTTTTTACACTTCAGTGTATGTCAATAAAGACATGGTTTGATGACCATTAGGATAGTTTTCTTATTTTGTTTTTCTGAGGGTAGCTGCTTAGGCAGAGACAATCCTCACTAACCTGCATGCATCAATACAGAAACGCTCCAATCAGGAAACAAAGGTTTCAAGGGTTACTCCTGGTAGGCTGTGAACGGGTAAAGAGTTAAAAACTAGAGAGGGAAGAAATGGATGTTTATCTGATTGTGTTTTTTGACTTTACTAAGGTCTATACTATAGCTAGTGGTGTGACTGGATGTGAATAGGAACTCATTCAAAGCTAAGGTGACCACAGGTTGAAAAACTTGACTCATGTCTTTGAAAACATTACAAGCACCAAAATACAGAGCACACAGATGTCAGTATTTCGTACTCCTACTCTCTATAACAGCAAAACATCGAAATCTTTTTGAACAACACACATGCACATAATCATGTTATGGGGATTTTAGGGGTAAATTTGACGACCGCCTCGTTGCCGTGAAGCGAATTCTGCCAGAGTGTTTCGAGGTGGCAGAGCGAGAGGTGCAGCTCCTGCGAGAGTCCGACACGCACCCCAACGTCATCCGATACTTCTGCACAGAGCGAGACCACCTCTTCACCTACATCGCCATCGAGTTGTGCACTGCAACTCTGCAACAGGTTGGCGCTACAGTGGACTGTCACTGAGATCTCCACTTTGACTGTTAATTGAATTATCTCTAAGACATTTGTTTTGTCTGTATTCACTGCAGTATGTGGAAGATCCGTCCTCCTTTCCTGAGCTGAGTCCTATAACTCTGCTGGAACAGACCATGTGTGGCCTCTCACATCTCCACTCACTCAATATAGGTCTGAGACACACACACACACACACACACACACACATACATTTACATACACTATTACTTACACTTACCTTTCCTCCATCCTTTATCCGTCTAGTCCATCGTGACCTGAAGCCTAGAAACATCCTGCTTTCTGGGCCGAGCGCACTGGGTCGGGTCCGAGCTCTCATCTCGGATTTTGGGCTCTGTAAGAAGATTCCCGACGGTCGGAGCAGCTTCTCTTTGCGTTCTGGAATACCAGGAACTGAAGGGTGGATAGCTCCTGAAGTGCTGCGAGACAACCCTGAAAATAAACCGGTAGGCTGCAAACATCTTTATAAAAACTGCTAAACTCTTCTCAATAATAAGCCAGGTTGGTGTTTAGAGTGAGAAGTACTTCATTGGCCTGTTGGTAAAGGTGTTTCTCGTCTCATCTTTCCAGACAGCAGCCGTGGACGTGTTTTCAGCAGGCTGTGTGTTTTACTACGTAATCAGCAGGGGGCAGCACCCCTTTGGCGATGCACTGAGAAGACAGGTCAACATCCTGTCAGGAGAGTATTCGCTCTCACACTTTATGGAGGATTTACATGGTGAGTGTCTTTCACTCGTGCCTCTCTCCTTAGTAGGTCCTATGATGTGAAAATGGAAAACTGTCCATGCTTTCATACGTGAGCACAGTTTAGCCACCAGACTTTGAATCGGTTCATCAGTTCAAAGATGCTTTTGGCTGCAGTTTTTCCAGTTACCTGCGTGAAATTGATGCTTTGATTGGCCTCTTTTGTAAACTGTGCTCAGATCACATCACATGTTACTAACTGGAAAACATTTATATTTGCTGGTCTTATTAGATGATGTCATCGCACAGGATCTGATAGAGCAGATGATCAGTGCTGAGGTGGAGTCACGCCCCTCCACCGCCTGCGTGCTCAAACATCCGTTCTTCTGGAGCCCCGAGAAGCAGCTGCTATTTTTCCAGGTGTGTTGCCACAGTTGCTCTGTGGTCACTCGTTTATAGCTGCATGTAGACATTGAAATCTAATAATAAAATGATTACTTTTATTATTTCTACTTTAAACGTTCTACTTTATTGATATTGAGATTTAGAGATGGGCTATGAAAAGATGTTGTGGCGAATTTCTTTTTGTTTGCTTTGTGTTTGCAGATTCTGTGAGCAGTGTTATTTATTTATTATTTTTATGTCTATGTTTGTTTAAAGGATGTGAGTGACCGCATAGAGAAGGAGCCTGCGGACAGTCCAGTTGTTGTCAGATTAGAAACTGCAGGAAGATTAGTCGTCCGAACCAACTGGAGGATGCACATCTCCGTGCCTCTGCAGACAGGTTTGCACACACAGACGCACCCTCGTAGCTCTACATGCATGCTTAACATCTGTGCAGGACAATAAACCTGTAATGCTTTGTTTTTTTTTTTTGTTTTTTTTCTCCCCCCTCCTCCTCCATGGGCGCCCCAGACTTGAGGCGGTTCAGGACCTATAAAGGAAACTCAGTGAGAGACCTGCTGAGAGCCATGAGGAATAAGGTCAGCCAGCATTACAATCATTAGATTCATGCAGAATTATCTTCAACTTTTTATGTTTTTTGACTTTTTTTGTTTTGTTTTTTGCATTTACATTACAGAAGCATCACTACCACGAGCTCCCACCAGAGGTGCAGGAGACTCTTGGTGAGCTGCCCGAAGGCTTCGTCGGGTACTTCACATCACGGTTTCCACGGTTACTGATGCACACACACGCTGCGCTGCAAATCTGTGCCCATGAAAGACTGTTTCACCCTTACTACCTACCCCCCAATGCCAAATAGCTTTCACAAGGCTATGCACTCCACATTTCATGTGCAGGGCCAAGTAAAAGAAATCCCTGACTGTACCCTGTTATTGCTTTTGTAAAGCCTGTGCTGTTCTTCAGGGGAAGTTGCAGCTGCTCTGAAAATATTTTTATAGAACTTGGGGTTGTTTTATAGATTAATTTTATTGTATTTTTTATTTCTTCCCTACTTAAAGAATGTATATATTTGTATTAATAATAGGATATGTTTTTAAACTAGATCTCAGTCAAATTACTTTTTTTTTTTTTTTTTATTTTAAAAGAGAATTGACTGGTCATAAGGTGCTGTGTTTATTTGTGTAGAAAATAACCTGCCCTTGAGCAAGTACATTGTGTAGCACAAGTTAAAATCAAAGGTGAAAACACAGTGATGGCCGCTTTTATTGAACTGAAACCAAATGAAGTAAAATTATGATAAGTTATATTAACTACTGAAAATAGCCTCTCTGACAGTGGGGATAGTTTTACAGGTTGACAGAATCATGTAGACTGATGCATAATAACTCTGACATGATTAAAGAGTGTGCTGAAGAACTGCAGCAGATCTTGTCTTCATGTTGTCAGCGTAGAGGATAATAACTAGGTGTGCAAACGTTGTTGAAGCTGTAGGTAAAGCACACACCGCAGATACTGAGGTACACAGTTACACAAGGCTACACACTAATGTTCGTGCTGTGCTTTCTTTAACTGTTCTGGAGACAGTGCCGTACCTGCATAAGTGAAGGTAGTTATACAGCTCCACCCAGGCATGTTGCCCACTAAAGAGAATACAGTGAATATCACAGTCAGACATCACTGACACACTTCATACGTGGGTAAAGCTGTGAAAACTTGGAAGTTTATTTCTGGTAGAAGACTTGAGGCCACACATCTCGCACGCCCATCCCAGCAGGAGAAGAGGGGAGGCCCGAGATTGGGTGCTCACGGCTAAAGGGTGAGAGTCCCAGCAGACCCGAAGCAACTGGCAGTTGACCGTGGTAGAGGCTGGCTAGCCTGGTACGAGTCAAAAACTGGTGCCCAAGAACCACCCAGCAGCCTCCCGATAAGAGGGAGGTCCAAGCCGCCTCCAGGGCACGGGCCAACAACCACACCAGAACGCACGCGCGCACACACACACGCACATATGTGCACAAAACACTCCGACCATTCGCACATTCACTCACACCCACCCACTAATGACACACAGAGAGACATAAAGACACTTGCACACACATTGACCCCTGGTTTTATGCCAGGTACACCCATTTTTGTCTTCACGTTGAAGAAAAATAAATTTGTTCAAATCCAAGTTATTAAATCCTAACAGGAGCACTTGCAGCATTAAACAGAGTGAGACATGGTGGAAAGCAAGACTTAAAGATGAAGAAGGTAAAGACTTTTTTTTTTTTTTTTACACTTTGAATAAGCAAAGACTCATTTCAGACATTTCCTTTTCTGATGTCAATTGTTTATCCTGGTGAGAAAATGTCATTCCTGTGCAGATGAATGTGCCAGAGAGGTACTTACCATTTGAAAATGTCAGTGGGTATAAAAATAAAAAAAAACGACAAAAAAAACTACTAAACTGACTTTGCTTCATTTTTATGTATTATTTTTATTATTTATTCAGAGTTACACAGTAAAAACAGAATCATTGAATCACAGTAAAAATGCTGCATTGCCTATTTTACTCCAGCAGAGGGAGACATGCCCAGCGCTGATCATGTAAATGACTTTTCTTGGTAAAGGCTAGAAGTAAAGAGGAAGTCGCAGGCTTCTAAATTGCTGTCATACATTAAACAGAATTGTGATTGTAGGGCGATCGTGGCTCAAGAGTTGGGTGTTCGTCTTGTAATCGGCCGGTTGCCGGTTCGAGCCCTGGCTCGGACAGTCTCGGTCGTTGTGTCCTTGGGCAAGACACTTCACCTACCCCCTACTGGTGATGGCCAGAGGGGCCGAGGACGCGATGGCAGCCTCGCCTCTGTCGCTTGCCTTCACCAGTGGAATTGTAAAGCGCTTTGAGGGGTCCCGAAAAGCGCTATATAAATGCAATCTATTATTATTATTATTAAAGTTATTAAGTAACAGCTGTGTACTTGTGTTTATGCGGTCACCGTCCAAACATGTAAAACTGTTCTCTTGCGTTCGCTTTGGCCTGATTAACAATCTGCCCTCAAAAACACATCCCGTAGAGCAGATAAGATGTCAGACATCAGTTAATTCCACTGTCAGTGTGAACTTAAACAGAAGTGGTTTAATGATCTGAAAGCCTGGGGTGCAGCTATCTGTCATGACCAAATCATCAGCTAATGAACCACTCGTTCATACTTTATGCTCGTTTATCTCTGATTCAGTCGTTTGGTGTGTGTGTGTGTGTGTGTGTGTGTGTGGGTGTGGAGAAAAACAGAGGGAGTACCCGGCTCATTATTAAATATCAGAGTTCAGCTGTAGGTCCAATCAAAACAGCCTTAGGGAAACATCAGCTTAACCAAAGTCATGAGACCAAATTCACTGCGCTGCACACATGCAGCTGTATACACACTCGAACCCACAGTCACACACACTCGCACACAGATAACAGATAAATGTGCGTGATGGCTCTCAGGCCTGTGGATATTCGGGTAGGCAACAATTACGTTATGTTACAGAAAATTGCTGTAACAACAAACAGAAGTCCTCTTTTGATTTCTGTGAGGTGGTTTGTGGCTAAAAATGGTGTTTCTACATTATTCTTTATTTACTTTGATTGCTAGAGGCAAAATAATAAAAATGGCTACAATCACCTTTTATCCATTGCATTAAAAAGCTTTGCATTATTTCCTGCCATTTTGTGTTTATTTTGGTTTGTTTTTGGCAGAGAAGTGAGTCGTTATTAGCAAGCTGCACATAAAGACTGGATGGCTGCAGTGCACCCATATAAATACCCATCTTAATTAGTGCTAACTATCATATAAATAATATGCAAGTATATAGAATATTCACTGTTCAAAACTGAATTAGGCACCTTACTAATACCTCTCTAATGCTTAACAGTGTGACATTATTATAATGTGCTACCCCAATTTTATATTTTCACTTTGAAATAAACTCCTCCTTTGGTTGAATAGAATTCAACTATAAGAATATCCTGCACAGGCCTGCTGGTGTTGACTATGGTGTAGAATTTAGCATTGATACTCTCTCTCACACTCACGCACGCACACACACACAGGCTACACATCAGACACAAACGTTGAAATGCAGTGCGAGGACGAAATGTCCTGTGCCTCTCAGCTTCTATAAACGAATGCTTCCTTATGTTTCAGAGACCACTGGGACATATTTTTCTGCTCCCTGCTTTTTCCTCTCATCTCCTTTGTACGACACCGCAGGAGGCTGGTTGGGTTTTCTCTGATCTGTGTGTGTGTGTGTGTGTGTGTGTGTGTGAGAGTTTGTGCTGTGGGGTGAAGAGGGGCAGGCGATCGAAACAGCCTGAGCGATGTCATTCTGAGTCTCTCCATTTTGGGATCAGGACAGGAAGTGGGCTCAACAGAGGAAACATGACCTCCTCCCCCTTCTCCTCTCTCCCTCCCTCTATCCTCTTACTTTTCCCTGTATTCCCTCTTCCTCCCTTTGTCCCCCCCCTCCCCCCTTAGTCTGCGCCTACCCATTCACAAGGTCACTCCAGTGTTCTTTTGGAGCCGGGAGCTCTCGTATGGCTGTCACATTCATTTCTGCGGCGTGCCTGAGCGGACCTTAAATTACACTCTGCTTACTTCCTGTGTAAATAAATCTATGTTAACCAGTGATTTCTAAAACAACACTAAAACTCTGGTCTAGTTGTTTCTGGGCTCCCTCCCTCTCTCCTGAGACTTGGAGTCTGTTATGCAGCAGAGCTCCTCTGATTAAAAGCCAAAGCAAAGGTCAGACTCTGCTGGGTAACAGAGATATTGCCCGACTTCAGCTTTACTCTCATGCCCAGTGGTCTGATAGCTCTGGCTGATGAGTTTCATGTTACATTATGTGGGATGAGGGCCTACAGTTAGCCTAGGTTGTAGATCAGTGTGACATTGCTTATCAGGAGCTTCAACTCTCTGGCTTCGCAAGAGAGCTTCTCGTGTTCATAAATACTGATTAAACGGCCCCAGGACATTAGAAAAACATATATGAATTTATTTCCCCCCACGTTTCTCCTTCGGAGCTCAAAAACATTTCTTAAAAACCCTCACATCTATCTGCCCCCCCACCCCTCCTCCCTCAACTCCTCTCCACTAATCTTTCTACCACTCTTCACTTTCCAGCTCAGAGGGTCTCGACCTCTTGCTTTACCGCATACACACTCAAGCACACAAAAGACGGCCACACTGAGAAAATAAAGAAACAGCGTGTCAGCAAACGGCAGTGTATTTCACCACAGAGCACAGAGCCAAGGCACTGGAAAACAAAAAAACAAAGGCAGAAGACCTCCCTCTTTTCATCCCCCCCACCAACCCTCCCGACCTTCTTCCTGTTCGCCTTTCAGCGTCTGCATCTGTTTGTTTGTTTCATTGCCTTTTTCTTCCCCAGGCGTTTTCCTTTCTGCTCATTTTCTCTCGGACACATCCAGTGCAATGACGACAATTACAAAATTAAACAAAACGACAAAAAAAAAAAAGTTAAGCGTGAGAGGAAAACAAGGTAGGTTAGCTAACAACACCAACAGAGCAGTTATAGTTACAGTGATACCGTTAGACAGAGTGCCGCTTGTATTTTAGGATGTGCACACAGTATCAGTCACATACTTACAGTAATTAATGTACAGGATTTATCCACACAAACAGTTTTAATACAGTATCAGAACGAGGCGAGAGTGGGAACGTTCCCGGTTTGACTCATTCGCCTTCGAGGCAATGCAGACTTATTACTCGGGGTGGGAAGAGCAGCCCGGCTGTGTCCGACTGCTGCATACCGAAATGCAAATCAGGGGTTTTCACTTAACCTCACTTGATTGGAGGGAAAAAAGTAGTTTTTAAAAATGTACAAAGTATGAGGGATGCTCCTGTGAGCAGTTAACCACCATCAGAAATCAGTGCATAACGTTTGTTAAAACTGCAGATAAGCTACGTAACAGGACAGATTGTGACTGGTTGCATTCATAGTTAACCTGCTGGTTACTTGACTTATAATTTCACCTTTATACCTACATTACATGTCTGACACTGGAAAAACTTGCACTGAACGAAATATTTCTGCAGTTATCAGATTAACCCAATGCAGAAAAAAATCCAGTCATTACATTCAAATCAATCAAATCAAGACATCTTGATGGACTGGGTAATATAAACTCTCTTGTGGCTTTTTCGGTTTTCGCTCTGCACCTCCTGCTGAACAAATATCTGACATTTCAGCTGCTAAATAGTCCACTATGTTCACAGGCTGGCTGCTATTTTTGTCCGGCTGCAGTTTAGCGTTCGGAAAGAAGTGCAGTGTGGTTGGTTTTTAGGACTTTTTTGGGATGGAAACAAGGCCATGAGTGGTGAGAGTGAACCAAACAAGTAACTTTGGAGACTCTAAAACCAAAACAATGAGCTCAAGGACACTA